CATGGTATCTGGCATGGGTTTTTCCTGGATTCCAGACTTGGCTCTTATAGGTATGTGGGCTTGGGCCTCTCTGGGCCTCATCTGTGAAATGGGTATGCTAGGTATCGTATTTTGCACAATTATTATCAAGATGATATGTGATTACAGTGTCAGGTGCCTGGCTCCGGCATGGTACACAACGGGCACTGGGCAATGTCTCCCTCCTTCATGAGTGTTGGCCTGCACGTGGCACCTACGTGATCAGGTGGCACAAAGCTGTCCTCTTCACTCACGGGTGCGGCAGAGACCTTGGCAGGTATGTGAGAACCCCGGGGTGGACTGAATCATAACCTGGACTGAGGAGTACTGGGAGGTCACTCACAGCAGGAACAATCTTATCTTTTGTTGGGCTCCAGAAAGTGTTTATTCAAGTGAAGGTGTCTTTCCCCAATGGTGAGGATTGATAAGTAAATTATCAATTGCTTCAATTATCAGGACTATGATTTATAAGCTACCACGTTTCATATGACTTGAAATCTGCAGGTGCCTGGAACCAGTCTTTTCTCAAGTTTGCATAATCAATTTGGGCTCCAGTTGTTACAATACTCTGGGGAGAATGGGGCAAGTGTTTCAGAGTAGGATGCCCTTAGGTTCTGACTTATTTGGGAGGAAGTTCCAGGTATCCCTTAATCTTTGGGGGTGCTTAAAACACCTGAGGACAAAGCTCAGTATAGAACCTTTTTATAATAAGGATGTCCCCCAAACCAGAAAGAGAACTCCCTAAAATATTGGAAGATCTTGCCAGCTTACTCAAATCCAGTTTATATTGAGGGGTACAGAGTGCAGATGGTCACCCTTTGTCCAGGACTGCGGTGAGCAACCCCTTTAGCTGGTCCAATTGGCCACAGAGAGTGACAACTTGAGGCTTAGCAGTGAGCCTCCCACTCTTTACTCCTCAGGGAAAAGGCAGATTTGCAAGTCATGCCTTCGTTCCTCTCTGCCCTTTCCCAGAGGAGCAGGACATGCCCAGGGCCCAGGGGCAGCAGCTCAGAGTCCCCCCCATCCTCTCCACTTTGCGTCTGCAACCTGATTCCCCACAGCCTGTCCACAGCAGTCTCAGAGGCCAGTGCGTCCCTCTCTGCTCTTGACAGTGAAAAGTCTTTTTCTCAGTGTGTAAGCACTATATTAAAGTTCTTGAGCTCCAAATAATAAGGACATGAGAAGAATAGAAATTTCCTGTGATTTGACCCTCCCCTCTCTCCAAGATCACCTGAACAGTTTAAATATCCTTCCAGAACTTTTCTTCTCAGTACATGTATATATCTATACATACGTAATTAAGAGATACAAATGTAAATATGTATTTTCTATTGTAAAAACGTCATTCTTACAATACACACTCTTCCTGTTTTGCTTTTTCATTCAATACAGTAGGTGTTCAATAAATATGTATTGTATGGATGAGCCATAATTAATTATTCAATCCCCTACTTGAGAGCGTTTGAGTTGTGTCCAAACACCCTTCCAATACACATCCTTATATGTAAAAGACATAACTGAAATACGTACATACAACACATATAGAAACTGAAAGCTTATCTGCATAGAAACGTCTATTTAAATGCACTAACACACCGCGCATGTTGTGGAGAAGAGTTTCGGGTGCCTCTGATGCAGTTCATGGATATCCCTGGAATTTATGTGGCTATATTAGCCTCAAAAAGAAAACTTTCAGCCAAGTGTTTTAGGACCTTTGGGGATAAAGGTGCGTTTGTCCCTAATGTTTCTTTTTTGGTTTTAAGTCCTCGGCAGGGCAGCTTGACTAAGATAAGAACCGCATCCAACAGTGGTAACAAAGGGCAACAATTCATTTGAGAGAGAATAGAAAAATAATCTGCTTCAAATTCTTTTTCGAATAGGAGGGAAAAAATTGATTGGGGGCTGGAGGGAAAAAAGGAAGAAAGGAAAGAGAAAAAAGAAGAAAAATGCTTTCTCCTGACGGTTGTTTGCACTATGTTCGCCTGATTCTGCTGTGGAATAATTGTAGGTCTTTTAAAGGACATAATATTATGACAGATTTCCCTCCCTTACTTTCTCCCGGGGCTGAACATGCAACATTTATGTCCTGCCACGAGCCTGGAGGCTGGCCCCTCCTGGGTTAGTCCGAGGAAGCTAAAACACCCCACACCCAAGAGAACGAGAAGGTTCACCACACAAGGCATCGTTGCGCTCGCCGAAGTCCGCCCTGCAGGCCCGCAGGCTGCAGACTGGGGGCAGGGACCCAGGACAGCCAGGGGGTCCAGCTCGGCCCTCACTGGGGCTCAAGGACACTCACACCGGTCCCCAGAGAAAGACCCTGACTGTTACCGTGGCTGCCCCAGGGACAAGAAATCCAAATCTGTGGTCCCCACATTGCTAGGTAAAAAGGAAAGAGGGTTTTGTGACTTTCCCTTCTTGACCAAAAAAAAGGGGTGGGGGAGGGGGCTTAAATGTTTAAATGTGATCCTTCAGCTCTGTGAATGCAAACCAGGGCCTGGTGGACTGGGGAGAGCAATTAGGCCAGACACGGAGTGCAGAAAACCAAAAGGGGGTAGAAATCTAGACAATGGTGCTAAAGTCTCGGGTGGGGTGATGGGGGGAACGGATATGATAGCAAGGAAGGAGTTTCAGTGTGAATGAATACTAATTAGTGACATGGATATTAATGATGACAGTAATTAACAGGGGAAAGGAAGGGCTGTCATTGTCCCAGGGTGAGTAATCAATCTTGGCAGGTGATAAATAATGGTTCAGCAAGCTCAGCAGAAAGATAATCCGCCTGCCCGGGGGAGAGCTGTTGCTGATGCTGGAAACCTATCTGTTTCCAGGCAACCCACAGAAAAGAACTATTTTTCTTTTGAGGAAAAAACAGGTTACAGTCTCTCCCCCACCCCCAACTTGGGATTACAGTTCTTATTTGATTTCTGCTTTGTTCTTCATTTCCTAGGACAAATGTTGAACTTGTATAATTTGGAGGATATGGACACACACACACAACCACACACAGACATTCTCTCCTTTTGCTCAAAGAATGTGAATGAATAGGAAGGTTTTTGATCCAAAGTTTAGCTCATAGATGCCATCCGGGAGCGAGAGTGGGGAAAAGCTTAGAAGTTCTGCTTTGGAGGTTGAAATGGGGAGAACTTGCTGGGCTGTGTCAGTGGAGGCTAGTCCTGGGGGAAGCACAGAAATAGTGGGATGGGGCCTTGGTTGTCTACTGTGCAAGGTTCATTCCCCCTCCAGGGAGCCAGAGAGAAACAGGCCTGAGCTGCTCTCACCTCTGGAACATGTCTGGGAAACTTTATTTCTGGGGAAAGGGCAATGCTCGCTAAAGACTTCTGCTAGCTTCTCAGGTTTTCAGCTGGGAATCTGTTCCGGAAGAGCTATGGGCAGACCCTCTCTCTCACACCAAGCCTCAGACCCACGCATGACAGGATTCAGACATCTAGAAATGTTGCCCTTTTCAGGCTGCTTTCCATCAAACATTCCATCCCGAGGTGACAAAGCCACCTTTGAAGATCTGCGCTGGTTTCAAATGAGATGGCTGAGAAGACCGGAAGTTCAGAACCTTCCAGAAATTTGGACTCTTCTACTCCCACATTGGCTCTAGGTGCAACATCTTCAATGGGAGGCAAACAAAAGGAAACATAGTCAGAGAATTTTGACCAAAATGGGAAAGGGCTCTAGGTCATGTCATGGCAGGAAATAGCTGAGGGACCCAGGTATGTTTCACCTCGGGGGGAGAAAACTCAAGAAGCATGTTGATAGTATATCGGATGGACTCTATCCAGAGCAAGAGGTCTGGATTTGTTTCTCTATCATCAGAGGGCAAAATTAAGTCCAAAGAGAAGAATTTAGAAAGGGTCAAATTTCTGTTCAGAGAAATCAAAGATGATCTGACTAGGACAGCCTGTCTAGGGGGGAATCTGTGATTCCCAGGTACTAGGGTTTTTCCCAGTGGAGATCATGGCACCTCCTGTCCGAGGTATTATAGATGCAGTTCCGGTATTGGCCAGAGTTGGAGTAGATAAGACTTAAAAGTCCCTTCCAACTCTTACAATTTTATATTAATTAAGGTAGTACTTGATATCAAAACAGATAAATCCCAACTTCTGGGGCTTAACACAGCAAAGTTTATCTTTTAATCAAGTCAGAGCCCAAAACGGGCATCAATTTTTATGGTTGTTCGGGAGCCCACGCTCCTTCCACATTGTGGCTCTGTCCTCCCCTGGGTTCTTGGGGGTCCTCTCCGTTTAGTCAGCAGATAAGGAATGAAGGGTTTGCAGAGTCACATGGGAGTTTTATGGTCCAGGCCTAGAAGCAGGATACATCATTTCTAGCCATATTCCATTGTAAGAACTCAATCTTTACCCAATTGCAGAAGAGTCTAGAAATGTTATCTAGTGACCCAAGGAATGGAGGAAAGAAGTTTTGGTGAACGCAAAGAAGTTTCTCCCCAGAAACAGGGGCATTTTCATTTAAAATATGCCCATGCCAGGAAAAATTAAAGGTTTTTTGTTTTGTTTTGTTTTTTGTTGGGTTTTGTTTTGTTTTGTTTTTTTAGGGACCTGTAAGGTCACCTGTGTTGGTCAGGCCTTGTCAGTTAGGGTAGGGAGCTGAAGAGGCCTCCTTCCTCAGGAAATATCCTGGGGGCCAGGTGTGGTAAAACTTCACCTAGCCTTTCTCTGGGAAGTCATCAAAATCTGTATTTGCAAGAAGTCTCCTGTAGATAGTCCCTAGAAGTGTGGACACAAGATCGTCCTGAGTCATCGGAAGTGGATTTTTTTGGAAACAAATAGGACTGTGACTATGGAAGTGTCCCAGTGGATAGATGTGGTTAGTTAGGATGGAAAATTGTCAGTATTACCCAGCTCTCTGGGCGTGTGCTAGTTGGAATTAGGACTTTCTTAGATAAACATGTTTCTTCTGCCACAGGGTAGACATCCATGACGTCTTCAGTTCAACTTGCTTTATCATTTCAGGTACTGACATCGTGCAGTGGCTTATGAAGAACCTTTGCATCGAGGACCCAGGTACTTGACCCTGACTTTATCCTCCATGGTACTGAGAAACATCCCATAAACAAGTTCCAGACCAGATTCTCCTATTCTCCTGTGAACTGGACTTATAAATATGAATCCCAAGATGTGGAATCACTCTATTTGCAAATAAAATTAATTTATTTTCTTGACTGAATATCTATCTTTAAATCTAAATCACCCTTTGAGGAAATGAGCAATTATTTAGAGTGCCAAAGACCCCAGTACAATAACGTGTGAAATGAGATGAATTCTCGTTAGCCACAGCAATTAAAGATAAGTTGTAGAACTATCATGGAACAGCCTTCGAGAGCCAGCTCTTAAAATTAGATTGCCTGATCCACAATTAAGATGTCTAATTATTTGCTAAGACTCCTTCTGTTTTCCGCTTCTGCAAGAAGTGAAAGAATGATTTTTTTTTCCAACCTTAATTGTGCATTTCAATTAGGAAAACCTTACCAGAAAAACAACAACAAAACTCTGGCCAATAAAACAGTTTCCAAATCTGTCCTCCCACCAGAAAATAAGTAGTAAAATTTATTTTCACAGCATAATTAGAAAATGAGGAGTTTCAGAAAAATAAAAATTGCAGATAAGTAAAGCTTACTATCCCTGTGTTAGTTAATACTTTTTGGAGTTTATTATATACTTCCTGTTTTAACTGAGTATCCTCAATGCCTGAAGGTCATATTTACAAATACCCATTAATGTATTCTTATGTTCTTGGGGATTAGATCTATCTGACCCAAATTAAATGGCTTCCAATGGCTATGCTTTCTAAAGATTTTTTTTTTTAATGCCCTTTCTAGGTGTCTGTGATTCCTTGCTAGGGGTCACTATGTCAGCTCAGGACTTCCTCTATTTTAATCTGATGCTCCTAATATACTATTGACTAAGAACCAATATAATTTACGTGGCGTTCAAGGAAATATAGCTGCCAGAAATCTGAGTGCCACAAAAGCAGGTCATTGATGGAAGTGACACTAGCCTTGTTCACCATCATGATTAATGGCCACTTCCATGACTAGTGAAAATTCTTAAATCTAGTTAAGCTCTTAATCCACAGAGGGAAACTGTGAATTCAGATCCTCTTAAGGAAAGAACCCAAATTAACTACAGCATGTGTTTCCCTCATGCAACCTGGACTTGCCATTGTCCACTTGTAAAGCCTGGACCGAATACATTTCCACCAGCTTAGTCCCATGTATTTAAAATCAATGTTTCTTTGGTTATAATGCTTAGCCTAGGGAGTAATTTCTCCATGGTGGTCTTTTCTCTTCCAGTAGCACTCTGTCCTTTGCCCTTCTACAATAATTCTTGTATTTCTGACACATGCTTTATTATGATTGTTAGTACTGGTAGCAGTACTGTGAAAGCCCTGAGCCAGCTGGTGGTAGGGGAATAGGCTTCAGGAGGCCTCTGGCCCTCATATGAGAGGCTTCCCTGAAAAGTCGTGAATAATACCTAATAAAGATCATATCTATGAAGCTCTCTTATACACAGATGGCCTTGGGAGGACATCATGTTACTGGGAACTGTTTGGGCTTCTGAGAAATGGATGAGGAGGAGTTAAGAACAGTTCACCAGCTGGGAATAGAAGGGTGGAAAAGAGGCAAATCAAAGTCCCAGAAGTCAGGCTCATCCAACGTCTGTCCCTCCCTCCCTGTCTGCCATATATCTAAGCAAAACCACAGAAGATGAAGTGAGAGTTCTAGCTCCTACATTGGTGATGTGAAAGTCAACTTCTTACTGGAAGTTGTGCTCTCTTCCCTGGGGAAGGAGCAGCTGCTAGTGATGAAACTCTTTTTTTTTTTTTTTTTTTTTTTTTTTTTTTTTGCTGGACCCATGATTCTTGAAGCAGATAGACTTTAAAACACACACTGGTCATCCCTAAGCAAATAAGATACAACTTCATTCTAATTCCACCAGTTATTTCCGAAGGATAGGTGATTCTAAATAAGCAAAACACTTGGATTATATATAACCTCTTGAGAAGTCTGCAAGTAAAGACAAAACAAGTTGCTTTAAAAAATTCAGAGCTTATGAAATTAATAATTCCTGGAGATTCCTTAAGCATATCAATAATTTCCATATCCAAAAGTTAGTTTTTACCAAGAAGAGTACTTTTATATTTGTGAAAGATTATCATGCATGGCAGAACCATATAGATTTGTTATTTTTTTTCTTAGCCCTGCTCAGAATAAATATAAATTATTGATTACGTGAATCTATTTATGGCTGATACTAAGTCACAAAACAATGGGTTGATTGTGGCAAAGATGTACATATTTCTATCAGGTCGGCTTCCCTTTGCCACTCCCCACTGCAGTGTCCTTCCTCCAATTTTCTAAGAAAGTGAGGTTTTACTCTGTGTCCATAAGAGAAGGGAAATGCTCTCCTCTTCTCCAGTGGGACTGTCATATCGGGGAATGCCATGGGAGTCGAGAGACTCTCTGGGCAGTGAGGCTACATGCTCATTGCTGGGGAATAAAAATGATGAAACTAGCAACATGAATCTGGGCTGCCCGCCCCTACTGAACACCAGGCACTGCTAAGCACTTACGTGAAACATCCCACTTGATTCAGTACAGGTCTATATGTGCCAGAGGCCCTGCTCTTAACTGTGAAGCTACTTTCTTCTGGAAGTCTTGCGGGGGAAGTTAACCAAAGCCAGACTCTCAGAGCTGGGATCCAGTTGAGTCCCAGACACATGTTGGCCCTTCCCAACCACTGACACCCACCCCATCCAGCCCAGTGCATTGATATCAAAGGTTATCAATCAATCAGTCAATCGATCATGCAGTTACCTGAGGGTGACAACAGTTGATTTCTGGTTGCCTTTCTGCCCTCCTGACTTACATTCCAGCTAAGGAAACCTGCACTCTGACAGCTTGCTAAATACTCCTCTCTTCTGCCCTGTCCATGCAGTTGAAGCAATACACTTGGGAAGCCTTATAGCCGCCCAGGGCTACATCTTTCCGATCTCAGACCACGTTCTCACCATGAAGGATGATGGCACCTTTTACCGTTTCCAGGTAGGCCTGCCAGCATCTCTCCCTGAAGAACCTTCTCTTATCATCTGATCTCAGATTAGAACTACCTACAAAACTGAGGGTATTTAAGGGAGCAACCCTTACCTCCCCCCAGCCCTGGGAAGGCCAAACAAGATTTTATTTGGGCCATTTGTTGTTGGGGTGGGGGGTTTCCACATATTTCCTCATTCATTCTGAAGAACAAACTTTTGGGAGGTAAATATCAACCATTTGACAGATGAGAACATTGAGGTGTCTGAGGATTAATAAATCTGGGAGGTGGCCTTGATTTGAGTGTGCGTCAGCCCAATGGCAAAGTCCTTGATCTTTCTACTCTGTCATGCTGCCTTCCTGGTGTGAAGTTTCTATCCTCTGCCTAAGCCCTCCCACCATTTTCCTCTCCTTTTCACAGATCCTGTCATATAGGGAAATGGGGCAGAGGATAAGAGTCCGTGTCAAGGTCAACACCAAGGTGTTTGGAGTGGAGTTTTTCAGACAGCATCAAAGGGTATCTCAGTCCGCTCTGGCCACTATATAGCAAAATACCACAGACTGGGTGGCTTAAACAACAGGAATTTATTTCTCACTGTTCCACAGGCTGGAAGTCCAGGATCAAGGTTCTAGCAAGTTAGATTTGTGATGAGGGCTCTCATCTGGGCTTTCCGACAGCCCCTTCTCACTGTATCCTCCTCACATGGCAGAGACAAAGAGAAGGCAAGCTCTCCGGCGGCTCCTCTTATAAGGACACTAATCCTTTGGGATCAGGACCGCACCCTTGTGACCTCTTTTAACCTTAATTACTTCCTTACTCCAAATACAGCCACACTTCAGGCTAGGCTTCCGCATGTCAGTTTTAGGGGCACACAATTCAAAGGGATAAAAGGAACTTGGAGCTTGTGTGCCCAGTAAGCTGTGCCGGTCTTGGGATAAGAAATGTTTGCCCTGTAAACTAAGTTTCTCATTTTTGCATTTATTTTGCTCACCTTGGATTTCATTTCTCAATACCTAGGTTAAAATGTTGACAGCCTCAGCTGCATTAAGAACAGGAGAAAGTTGGGGATGTGATGTCGGCATGAAAGAGACGGGGCAGAGCCTGTCACCGAGAGGGGTCCTCACTGGGTGCTGGAGAGGGTGGACACTCGCTCCGGGCCGAGGAGGGCAAGTGCCCGCCTTCCTCTGAGTCCTGACACCTGTGCTCTTTTGCAGGCCCCGTACTTTTGGCCTTCGAACTGCTGGGAGCCTGAAAACACCGACTATGGTGAGCAGTGAAGAAGTGTCACTCCTGCGAGAGTGGAAGACAAATGCCGGTGTCTGGGTGATGGTCACGCAGGGAGGAGGGGTCATTGTCCTGCTTAATCCTTTTCATACCATTGACATGTAATAAGCTCCCTGTTCCACATAATGAAGAAAGGCAGAGCACACTGAAAGATGCAGCCTTTGGAAGGGAATGGTGGAAGGGAAGAAAAATTCTATCAATCTGGCCAATGTGCTCATTCTATGGAGCCAAGAGCCAAGACAGTGGCTGCTGACCAGTCCTTTCTGGGACAGGGTTTCAGGGAGGGCTGGATCTAGGGGCCACCTCCCCCTAGTTCTTTCTATTTTCACATCCTTGTTAAGACTTATTAAAAATTCATGGATGTTTTTGATAGTTAGGAGTTAGGGGGGAAGGGAGACAGACCAGGGAAGGATGTACAGAAGGTACCCTGGACAAGGAAAATAAGAGTGGGTGAAGTTGGGAGCTTGGCAAGAAGGGAGTTAGCTTTGTCCAGGCAGGTGTCTGTTAGATTCTGGCCATATGCTCTCCATGAGACTGGTTAATATTTCCACATGCCAATCCTCTAAAGAAGTTATGTTGTCCCCCTACTCTAGATAAAGAACCTGAGGCTCAGAGAGGCCACATCCTCACACTTATCCCCCTTGCATTCTATTTATCTAGATGCCCAGTCAATCGTAAGCTCCAGGAAGGCAGGGACTGTTCACTCTCATATTCCCCGGTGCACCGTGCACAGCTGAGGCATTAGTAAATAGTGGCTGACAGTTCTGGTTCTTCATTAAATGTGATTAACAAACTCTCAGTAGAAGCATCAGAATTGGAACTCGGATCTGAGTGCCTTCCAGGCCCATGCTTCCTTCGTGGTCTGTCCCTTTGCACAGCGTTCTTGTCACTGACTTGGCTGCTAAGTCCACAGTGGCTCTCCTTGGGACTGGGGCACTTGGTGAGACCCACAGCTTCTCCCTAGATTCTTTGCAGGATTGCTTGCTCAGGAAGGCAGAGGCAGCTACAGAGAATGGAAGGAGATGTGCAGCTGGGTAGTGTTCAGGGAAGCCTGTCCAGGAGACCTGGCGATGAACTAGACTGGCTCACTCCCAACGCCAGCAGGTGAGAGCAGCAATGGCGAGGGTGGGGTGCAGACAAGTCATTGCCTACTAAGGCTACAGTTGTTCTGTTTTCAGGTCTGAAGGACGGTCCTTACGCAGGGGGCAGGGCCTTCCGACAGTCTCTGTGGCTGTCTGCAGGCACCCTGGTGGATCCCTCTGGAACTGGGCTGTGCTTTAAGGATCTGATAAGTGGATAAGCAAGGCTTCCAACTCAAAATCAGAGCTTCATTTGGCTATTCACAAAACAAATTCTTCTGGGGCTGAAATACTGCTCACGAAAGCCCAGCTGGAAATTTGAGTAATTGTAGCTCAGATCCATGTAGCAGCCATGTGCCCTTGTGAATGTAAAAACCAATATTCTTATAGGCAGTGAAGGGGCGGGGGGCGGGGGGAGGATGGCAGGACCAGATAACTAGACCCTAGTAAGATGAAAATACCTACTTGAATATGAACCTATAAAGCTTCGGCTATCAGGCACTGCATACACCAGGGCATTAGGTTCCCTTTCTCTACAGAGCTTCTCCGCATCATGATTTTATGTGCACATGAACAAGGATAGAAATAACAATTTATATCAGGTTCTCATTAAAACAAAATTATTTCGAATTCCTGTGCCTCGACTTTGGCAGATCAGATGGAGAAGTCAAGGTACGGGATGCAAAAGTACTCACCAGCATTTCCAAAGCAGTTCGGTCAGAAAAATCGAAGTATTTACCAAGAGAGAATTTACCACAGTGGCTCACGATCACCTGGCTCCACTAGCTGTGTGGGTCTTGGCAAGTTACTTAACCTCTCTGTGCCTCAAAACCTGCACGTGCAAATTAGAATAATAATAATAGTACGTGTTTCCTAGTGTTGTTTTGTTACAATGAAATGCAATGTCTGTACGATTTGGTGTGTGATCCATAGTAAGGACTCAGTAGAAACCATGGTGGTTAGTGTTATTACTATTAAGTTTGACAGTATTAGTTCTGTGGTGGCCCTCTTGCAGAGAGGATGTGAAAGCAAAGCTAAGAACTCAGAATAGGTATGATTTGGATTGATGAAGAACCAAAAACTTTCATCCAACAAACCTCTACTGATCACCTACTCTGTGTCAGTTGCTAGGGCACAGATTTCAATAAATCTCCGTCTTACCGTCTAAGCATTCCAGGCCAGGGGAGGCGGCATGATGGGGAGGAAGAGGGTGGTGAGGAGTCTGATCTGCATATTCAGAGGTTTCATGTTGATGAAGAATGACTGAGAAGGCTGGCTTGTTTGGGAGGGGCAGGTTTGTCCAAAAGCCATTGGAGTCAAGGAGAGACATTTAGAATGGATGCAGCAGCTTTAGGGAATCTCAACAATGGGGAATGACCTGAAAAGTTTCCCTCATCTGTAAAATGAGGATAATCACAGAACCCACCTCATAGGCTCATTATGGGGATTGAGTAAGTGAACATTTGGGAAGTCTCTAGAATAGCACCTGACATTCAGTGAGCTTCATACGGGTGTAGCTGCTGTTATGGTGATGTCTCAACACGCCCATAAAAGGCACTCAGTAAATGTTTAAGTGGGTGAATGAATGAACGAATGAATGACCAGTGAATGTCATTATGGGAAAAGTTAATTCCACCTCTGCCACTAACTGGCCTATGGGTAAATCACTTCACCTCTCTGGGCCTTTGGTTTTCCCATCTGACAGTGAGGGGCCTGGGCTTGCTGGTCACCAAGGTTACTTCCGATGCTAAAATCCATTGTACCAAAAAGTAATTTGAAGGTATGAGGAACACAGAGAAATACATGTTATACAGATTCCCTGGTTTAAGAGATTGAGGTAAATGATGTCACTCATGAAGACAAAGTTTGAGAAGGGAGTCAGTCCCTTAAGTACATTGAAATAGGATGAGGTCAATATTTTCTTATTGTTTAATTACATGTGTATTATATGAAGCTATTCACTTCATGAAACTTTGAATGGTTTCAGTTTGTATCAAGGTGAGATGTAGTGACCTTGACAGCAGTGGGTCATCCAAGTGAGATGCCAGGAGGTCGGATTGCCAGGTGTGAGGGTGCGGAGACAAAGATTTAACAATGAGAGATTAACTATCCAAGAAAAACCCACATCTGAGCTTACAGCAAGTCCCCCAGACGTCCTGTGTTGGGACTGGCTGTCATTGCCAACGGTCATCTGATGGGTTAGGCGTTAGAGCAAAAGCACTGTGGAAGGCACTATGGTAGCACAGGCAAGCCCCGAGTTCTATACCGAGAAAAGTCCGACTTGGGGCGCCTGGGTGGCTCAGTTGGTTAAGCGACTGCCTTCGGCTCAGGCCATGATCCTGGAGTCCCTGGATCGAGTCCCGCATCAGGCTCCCTGCTCGGCGGGGAGTCTGCTTCTCCCTCTGACCTTCCTCCCTCTCGTGCTCTCTCTCTACCATTCTCTCTCTCTCTCTCTCAATAAATAAATAAAACTCTTTAAAAAAAAAAAAAAAGAAAAGTTAGACTCAACAGCTCCATCCTACGTTCCTAGTTGTGGTGAACAGACTCCCTAACGTGTGACATTGGGCACAGGGAAAGCAAGCAGAAAACATGTGACCAAGTAGCTCATGGTCATCAGGAATGGTGCCAGCTTTGCCTTCCTTGCAGGGTATTTTACTTTATAACCCAGCTGGCCCATTCTGACCTAGACAGGTTAGAAATTTCTCAGGATGATTCTGCTTTAATAAAGCCCATAGCCCAACCTGGGCTGGACTTCCCTACGTCTTACATTTATCCAGTACAAAACACTGCTTGGGATAGCATTGTCAAAGCAGCTTTCACCTCCACTGAGCAGCTCTGCCCCTGGGTCAACGAGACCAGCGTGGTGGGGCTGGTGAACAGGCTTCCTCTCTAGTAGCCCCCAATTCCACAGGCTGCCTTAACGGTGGTCCAAGAGAATGAAGGAGGTACCTTGTAATACAGCAGATGCTGCTTTCAGACGTTATGGAGAGCTATGGGTGCCTGGTTCTCTGGAAAAGCTGGTAAGTGGAGGATTATGAAGAGGAGGTACATTCATACCGAATCACTTCATATCAACATAAGCTATACAAAGGAACAATCATTTGACAGCTTCTTGAGATAGGACCAAAGACTCTCTTCGATTACGGACCCCAATGATATGAGTTTCTTTCTTAGCTACACACTCAAGATAAACCGTCCAGTTTGGGCATCTTTAAAGAGCATCAAGAATTTAAAAACATTTTTGAAACAATCTATATGTTGACCCCTTTCAGATTATTTTTATTTTTCCCCATTTTTTTTAGTTATTTCACCTCTACCAAACTCATGGGCAATTGTCTTAGCCAACTCTTCTTTATCAGGTTGTTCTGAACCATTCACCTGGGTCTTCATAAAAACAACAACTCTCTCTTTTCACATTAATTTCATCAGTGAAATGTAATATTTAGGGAACTTACATTATTAAAATAACAGGTATGCTTGACATAAACAGATTTGAGAACAAACACAACTGACTGAATCTTACATACAACTCCACTGGAGTGAGCAGAAGCATGAACATACCAGAGCAGGCTGGCAGCCACAGGGTTCCAGCATATTGTAAGCTGCCATGAGCACATTTTTCAAACTGCATGGAGGAGATTGGTTGATCCAGCAAGGAGTTAGTTGACTAGATCTCCTAGTATAACTAAGTTGTCGAACCACGGGTCAACCACAGGTCCTCTCTGACCCTCTCTTCTGGTCATCCTAAATCTCATTCATACCACTCATCTATTGTCTTCCCTGGGTCATTCTACTTGGCGCTGGAGAAGGAGGGAGATACTGAAGAAGCAGAAGTAGGGAGAGGAAGTGATGAAAGCAGGTTTCAGAAAGAATCCTCTGGCAACTGAGGGCCAAGAACCCTTCCTTAGCTTGGACAGAGAGACCCAAATTGTCCTCCTTTTGCACTGTTCTTGCACTCCACCTGGTGGGCCACACTGGTGCTAAGTGTAAGGATTCAAGCTGAGTAGGACACAGCCTCTGCCCTTGAAGAGCCCTCAGCCTAGAGCCGGGGACAGTCTAGTAAACCCATGATTACCGTGCACTGGAATTAAGTTTCATGGGTGAGGGTAGGTAGATGCTATCCAGAACACAGAGCTGAGTCTTCCAAGATTAGTAGGAGGTTGCCAGAGAGAGGAAAAAAAGAGGGAAGTGGAAAGGCCTTTCCTAGCAGAGAACACATGGGCAGAAGAGTGGAACTGAAAGTAAGGCAGGGAAGGAAGAGGTTGACAAAGTAAGCAGACTGGATCTTAAAGAACCAAGCCTGCCACCCTAAGGAGCCTGACGGTTCTTCTGAGGTCACTGAGGAAGCAGTGCAGGGAGTGGAGGAGGTAACATGATCATATTTGTAAAAGACGACCCTGGTGAGGGATGCCTGGGGTGAAACAGAGTATAAGGAGGATGAAAGGGAACAGTCAAGACTTGGAAGATGGAGTCCTCATCCAATCCTGAGCTGCAGGAAGATTCCTGGAGGTTAGGTGCCATGGCTTCCACACAGAAGCAAATTCTGCACAGCACAGCACCGGGCACACAGGGAGGGCTGGCTGGATGGCTGGCTGGATGAGCAGACGGACAGATGGATGGATGGATTTTTAACGCCACCGCACTGCAAGTTTTGCACATGTAATTTCTCTTCTTCCCTCAGCCATCTATCTCTGTAAGAGGACAATGCAGAATAAAGCAAGGCTGGAATTGGCAGATTATGAAGCAGTAAGTATGGTTATTTTTCAGTTTAGGTGTGGGAGGAGAGTAAAACCGTATCTGCAGCTCTGTTTCCGCTTCTGTTTCCTTTTTTCTCTCCCTAGTCCCTTTCAGACAGTGGAAAGGAAGTCCCTTTTATCTCCCCTCCTTGATTCTCACCTCTTGTTACCATCCAATAAAATTGCATCTTTGTATAAGGAGCTCTTAAAACTCAGCAATAAGAAAACAAACAGCTCAAAAATGGGCAAAGGACTTGAACAGATACTTCACCAAAGAGAACATTAGGGAGGACAAATAAACACATTAAGAGATGTTCCCCATCAGCAGCCATTAGGGAAATCAAGATTAAATCCAGGGTGAGATGCCCCTACAGATCTGTTAGATTAGCCAAAATAAAAAGTCCTGGGAATGCCAAGTGGGAATGCAGAATGGCACAGCCACTCTGGAAAATGGTTTGGCAGTTTCTTACGAAGTAAAGCATACACTTCCCATATAACCAAGCAGTCCCACTCCTACATACATACCCAGAGAAATCAGAACTTCTGTTCACACACAAACCTGGGTATAGCAGCTCTGTTTGTGATAAGCAAAAGCTGGAAACAACCCAAAGGTGCTTTTAGGAGGTAAATGGTGAAATAAACATTGGTATGTCCGGGCGCCTGGGTGGCTCAGTTGGTTGGGCAACTGCCTTCGGGTCAGGTCTTGATCCTGGAGTCCCGGGATCGAGTCCCACATCAGGCTCCCCGCTCGGCGGGGAGTCTGCTTCTGCCTCTGACCCTCTTCCCTCTTGTGCTCTCTATCTCTCATTCTCTCTCTCTCTCTCAAATAAATAAATAAAATCTTTAAAAAAATAAATAAATAAACATTGGTATGTCCATTCGGGGGAATATTCCTCTGTGGTGAAAAGGAGTAAACTGTTGATCCACACAACCACTTGGATGAGTATTCCAGACATTACGTGGAATGAAAGAAGCCAGTCTCAAAAGATTTCAAACTGTGTGACTCCATTTATTTGACATTCTCATAAATACAAAACTATCATGAGAGAGAACAGATCACTGGTTGCTGGGAGTCACAGGTGGGGGTATGATGTGGCTATACAGAGACAGCACAGGGAGTTTTCTGGGGATGATGGAACTATTCTGTATCCTGCTTGTGGTGGTCGTTCCAGGGATCTAATCTATACGTGTGTTAAAATGCATACAGCTGTACACCAAAAGAAAAGAAAAGGGGGGTAATACGAGAATTTTTAAAACTTACTATATGATAATTTTTAATTGCATCTTTAAACCCAGCTCTGCCTTTCTTGGCAGTAGAATCTAAGGACCAGATCTAATCCAGAAGATAAGCTACATGTCAGATGAAGTACAGACATTCCCAGTTCTCCCCCTGCACCACCTTTCCCCCAAACCAAACTTTATATGGGTCACAGAAAATCTAGGAAATGGGCCAGATTTTCACATACCCTCCAGAAGGTACGGCAGCTGCGGAGCCATGAAATGACTGACAGGCTGGCGGCGAGGGGGAGGGGCAGCCCTGGGGGGCAGTGAGGAATCCTTCCCCGGTATTCCAGCACTAACAGGACTTCCAGCTCCTTCCTTCCAAACGTCCCTTGCACGCTGCCTCAGTTTCCCACAATAAGTGTGAGGCCCACTGCACCAGGCTTTGTCACTCTTGGGGATCTGTGCATAAGCCAGTGGGGAAACAGTCCTGGAGGACATGGTTCAGTTGACCCAGGGCCTCAGGACCTGGCCAAAGTGTGCTTATCAATGGGAGCCATTACACGTAAATATGTTGGAACATTATGATCTTCCCAAGCAAACCCTAGCAAGGCTATTCTGTGGATCTGAGCATCCTGGGCACCCAGTTCCTGTCCCCATCAGGCCTCCTGTGCCAGCCATCACCCCTCATTCAGTATCTGCTCTCCTACTTCTGTGCACCCAGTACAAGGTGCTACATCCCTTCCCTAACATGACCTATCCAAAAGACGTAGCCTGCAGAAGCGTGTGGCCTGGCCTCCCTGTGTCTCTCTTCCCCAGATTTTCCATGTCATAAAAAAGGTCCTACACAGAAACAAGATAGCATCAACTCCCGATATATTTTATTCAGTTTTCTCCTCTTTTGCTGTATAATATTCTGTTTTGGTATTTGTAAAGAATATGGCATTAAGATGTTCTTTCAGGTTGCAGTTCTGCCTAAAAGTGGGTTAGAAAATTTAAAAAGTATTTTGTTTTCAAAATTCAGTAACGTTATTCATTTTTTTCTGATGACATATTCTCTTTGTAAAGCCAAAAATTCAACAGCAAAGAAAGGAGGGGAAAGAACCTGTAATCCTTCTCCCCAAATCTTTCTTCTGTACATACATTTTTTCCTTAAAAAAACAAAAACAAAAACAAAAACTTGAATCATACCCTGAGCATTATTCTGTAAGCTGCTTCTTTCCCCAATCATATCCTGTAAGTATATTGAGAATCTTTCCATGTCAGTAACAATAATCTACATTATTGATTTTGATTGTTGCCTCGTATTCCATGGTGTGACTGTTCATAATTTAAATAACTGCTCCTGAATTGACTGATGGGTAGGTATCACCAGCTTTGCTTCCTATGAACAGGGGAAGAATCAAAGGAACAGGTTTTTTTGAGATATTCGTACACTGAGCCTTGGTAATAACTGAGTTTAGTTTATGTGTGTTGATCTTCAACTGAAGCTCCTTTTATATCAATAACCCACTAATGAGAGTAATCAATTAGTGTTGGCATGAGCTCTATGAAAATACATAGCATAATGTGGGCTCTGTCCTTGCATTCCATCAGAATTAGGTGGATCATTAGGAGACCCGTCAAACACCCCCCCACCAACCACTGTTTATTGTGCCTTCAGGAGAGACTACAGGCTTAGAGAAAAGGCTTCTCCCCTCTTCCTCTAAAGGCAATCCTGGATGCCTTTTCTTTCTTTCTGTTTTTGGGTTTTCCTTTCATGAACATCACAAATACAGACATTCCCTTTTCTCCCTCTTTTGAATCCGAACTTTCAAAGGCATGAATGCCAGGTCATCAACGTTTTCCTTTCCTGCTGCCTTCCTGGGCCCCTGCTTGCTGGAAAATGAGTCTTGAGAAATCCCTTCTTGCCTTTGCTCTTGGAGATGTCCAATAGGCTGCAAAGAGCCCCCTCATCCCTTCCCCAAATCCTGCATGAGTAGCCACAAACCCTTCTCCTTATCTTCAGTGACGGTGACGACAAGTTCATATAAAACACACAAGAGAAGAGGAATCAGGTGAACCACGGAGATTTCAGATTTAATGGGTGTGTAAATGAATATTAATAGTTCTACTCTGTACAGCAGGGTCTGGTGCAATATCACATTGGGTTCGCATCCAGTGGATTTAAAGTGGGGCGCTGCTATTCTGTGGAGAGTAACCAAAATAGATGACTGCCTTCTAATAAGCATAGGTGTCAGTGTGCAAACTTACAAAGATTAATGCCTTCTCGTTGATTTTCATTTCTCATTAGGAAAACTTAGCAAGACTCCAGAGGGCCTTTGCAAGGAAGTGGGAATTCATCTTTATGCAAGCAGAAGCACAAGTGAAGTAGGTGAACTTGACAGCGACCCTGGAAAAGAGAGAAAAACTCTCTGGAATGTGGAGGTGGTTTGAGAGTGGTTTCCTTCCACGGCCGGCCAGCTACGGCCGGTCAAATGCTGTCGTCTTGCATGAGAGCAGCAGAGTAGAAATCAAAGTCAAGATGGATAAGTTTCTTTGATTTCTTTGAAATCAATGGCACTCTGAAATAACTTCAAAAGCATGTGTTCTAGCAGGCAGTGGGCTTGCTTTCCAATGTAGAAATCTGGTTAGAAGATGTTCCTATTTCCTAAAGAGATTTCCAAGTAGTCTTCTGTGCTCAGGGGCTGAAAAACATCAGACCCACTTTTCTGGAGATTCTCTCTTCATAGGAAAACATGTTGGAGTTTAGGGAGGCCAGCTCCTCTCCCTTCCCCCCCGAGGGGAGGGGTTAAGCACATCAAAAATAAGGCACAAAAGTCAGATGTTGGAGTCCAGTGTGTTAAGATTATTACTGATAAAAGCCAGGTTCTAGGGCGTGACTTTGGATCTGTGACGACAGATCTTTACCCTGGAATTCAACTCATCCATGCTGAACAGAGCTAGATATCTGCAGAACCCCCCACCCCAGGGCAGAGTTGACCCCTGTAAGGTCACTGCATGCAGAGGACAGGCATCCTGAGAACAGGCTGACCCACACAGGGCCCAGAAAGGACCGACCCGAGCTTTCTCAATTTCTTCTTTCAGATCCACCAACAAAGTGAAGGCCCTCTTTCTCCCCCGGAGTACAGGAGATGAAAGACTAGCTGAAGTGTTTCCCCATACTTTTCCCTCCCAGGGACTACAGTGGAAATTCCTACCTCTCTAAGGAAACATAATAAGTGGCCAATACATGGCCCCCGCCCATAAACATAGTTGTCTACCACATCCTTTCAATTCTAGGAAATGAACTTGCTCAGGTTGGGTTCTCTCTTGCCCGCTCCAACAATGATCTCTGATTTAGCCGGGAGTGTTAACAGAAGAAATGGGACAGAGGAGGAGATGAGAAAGGGACACTGAGCTAGGCAAAGGCGAGCACCTATTCTCTGAACGCTGCTTTGTCCCTGAGCAGCACCCCTCCGCACTCTGGGGGCAGCATTGCAGCCCATCACCCTGGGCTGGGTCACAGGTGTGGTCATAGTTCGAAATGACCCAAGGACTTTGGGTCTGGTGGCCAGCATGGTGCCATGGCTCTCCCCCTCCCTCTGCAGTCTCTGCCTTGCCCCTCTGCCACGATTCCACACGCCTGCAGACCATGCCTCGTGCTGCCGGCAGCCAGGAGGGAGGTGGGCACTGGGCACGGGATGCTGTGCTGAGCTGGAGGAGCTGTGGCCCCTGAGGAAAGAGAAAGTAGGAGGGTAGGAGGGGGGTTGAGGGGGGGAGGAGACGGCAGAAACGAGCCTGTGTACTTAGAAGCCACTGCGAAGCAAAGAGGAGAGTTAATTTGCACTTTGAGGATCACCCAGCATCGCATGTTGAAAAAGGAGGGGAAATTGTCACTTTCTACATATACGGTATTTCTCGATTAACTTTTTTGATTAAGTTCGTGATTACATTATAATTGTGGGCCGTTGAAGTACACAGTAATTATCACAAAAATCAGAGGGTGATTATGGTTTATTTCAGGCCAGTAAACTGAAGTGCTCCCAAGAGAGCCAAGAACCAGAAGTTACACAACAATTAATCTGTTACTTTTTACTTAGAAAGGTGATATGAAGTAATATAGGCCTTAAAAAAAAAAAAAAACTCTTATCTATTTACTGATCAGACCATAAAGAATCTGTCTTTGTCACCTGTAATTTACCTCCTGCAGTTTGTACCTCCCCCAGCTGAGGCCAGTGATATTTGCCTTCTGGATCTTGTCACATGTTAGGGCTATTACTCTGCTTTTAGAAAGCTAGATGCTTTAAGTGACTTTTAAAACATGCAATTGCAGTATTTTGAAGACATTTCTATTAACTGAATCTAAAGCAAACTCTCAAATTTGAGGATGAAACACTGCAAGCCCATGGTTATATTCTTTCCTATAATTTGAATACGCAGGGTCCACTTTGATGGGGGCATGTCCATGGATAATTCAGTTCTGAATAATATCAATCTTAATCATTCACATAAACAGTTGGATTCTGGTTCTCTCCTTAGGCCCACAATGTTCAGTCCACATCTATGATGATTTGCAGTCCAGCCTAAAACAAGTACTCTTCCCACGTGTGGACTTCTTAAGGTTCTCTTGAGGGAATGGTCCACCCCTATGTTACAGCTCTGCAAAGAGGAGGGACCACACAGATGCCAATAGCCCTGTGTGCACTAAGCTCCTAGAAACAGGAGCCTCTGATTTCCTTTCTTCATTCTTTCAGGATAGATCGGAAAAAGGACAAGACGGAAAGGAAAATTTTGGATAGTCAAGAACGGGCCTTTTGGGATGTGCACAGGCCAGTGGTGAGAAAGCTGTGCTTGTTTCTCTATGTTTTTGTTTTGTTTTGTTTTGTTTCCCTCTTCCTTCACTTGAAAGAAAAGACTGTCTTTAGCCACCAGGTGTCTCATTCTTTAAAATTAAAGAGCATTGCTAAACTTTGTGAAATTGGTTTTGACATTCAGTCGATATAATCTCGGTAGATTGTCTGGAATGTATGTCAGTTCCAGCTTTTAAGACTTATTCATCCATGAAAATATGGACTTGGAAAAGGAGAACCGTGGGAATTCCCCCTGGGACCTCTGGGCCCCAGAAGTTTACAGCCCCAAAATAAGCAGTTTCTGGGGGTTTTTTTAAAATATATTTGGGTGTTCCCAAATTGGGTGCATAAATATTTACAGTTGTTAGAACTTCTTGTTAGATTGTCCCCTTTATTATGATACAGTGCCCTTCTTCACCTCTCGTTTGACTTTGGTTTTAAGTCTAGTTGTCTGATATCAGTATAGCTAAATCTGGCTTTCTTTTGATATCCATTTGCATGATAGATGTTTCTCCATCCCCTCACTTTCAATAAGCAGTTTCCATTTCTACTGTCACTCGACTCTAAATTGTAGAATGATCTTCCTCAAATGCGGCCCATTGTCAGTATTCACGGTAGTTACGTTCTGCAAAGTAGCCATGCACACTGAATTAGCCAATGCTGAGCCATTATCCAGGGAGACATACAGGGTTAGGTTTCCGTGAGCCTCTGGTCACAGTCTTTTCAACTAATCGATAGGTAACCATGTCTAAAGCCTGTTTCTGTTTAAAGACATCTTATTTAAAGTATGTTCTTGATTTATGAATACTTAATTCAGGGCCACCAGTGTTCTCTGCCTGACACACCTGTGTTCTCTGTCACGCACCCCACAGCCCTCTTGCACATAGGAACACTAGACGGCACATCACACTATGCTCGGGGGCCATGTTAAACAGCAAAACCAACAAAAAGCACAGAACTGTGGAAAAGGTGGGCCTAAATAGACCGTCAAAAGGACATTTGTTTACAGTAAGAGATGAAACAAGAAGGCAGAGCCTCAGCTTAGTCAGCCTCCTTGGGAACACCACATCGGGCCGCTCATGATTTTTGCTGCTTTGCCCGTGTCCACAAATGATCACAAATGCACCACAAATAGGGACTTGGAGGTTATGAATAAAGTTTAGTTCATAGGTGAATTCACAAATACAAAATCCATGCATAATGAGGTTAGAAGTAATGAGTATTTCTAATTTCCTATGATTAAAACAAATCTTGCATTTTCCTCATGAAATGGAACTAGAATGGGGAACCTATGTCAGCCCTTCCTAAAAGCTGGTTAAAAGCAAAACCCAAAAAGTAATTCCCCAGTGTGATATTGGATTGTTGGTAGATGGTCGAGTAACATGTAGTAACAAAGGCTGTGGCTGAAACTATCTGGCCACTCTGAATAAGAAGTTTACTCTTGGGACGCCTGGGGGGCTCAGTCGGTGAAGCGTCTGCCTTTGGCTCAGGTCATGATCCCAGGGTCCTGGGATCGAGTCCCGCATCTGGCGGGGAGCCTGCTTCTCCCTCGGTTCCTCCTCCCACTTGTGCTCACTCTCTCACTGTGTCTCTCTCTGTCAAATAAATAAAAATCTTTAAAAAAAAAAAGTTTACTCTTATAAACTATACACTCTACCCTCTACATGTCACCCCTAGATAGTGGGAGGTAGGCTTTGATATTTCATATGGGGACTCCGTGCAGGAACACATACTGAAGACAAAACATCTTTGTATCAAAAACTAATGATGTAATGTATGGTGATTAACATAACAATAAAAAAATTTAAAAAAAGATAATACCCCCCCCAAAAAAAAATCTTTGTAAAAGGAATTGTAAATGGCCAAGTGGAGATAATCATGTAATATCTGTAATGGGAATGACAAAGACTGGGTCTGGTGGTGTCGCTTGGGTCACACTGGAAGGTGTGATTTTCACTTAGCAGTTTATATAATGATTTTTTTTTTCTCAGCCAGGGTGTGTGAACACAACAGAAATGGATATCAGAAAATGCCGGCGTCTGAAGAACCCACAAAAGGTTAAAAAGGTTCGCTAGTTTAGCTGAATTAAAAATTCTTGATGCAAATAGCCTTTCTGTTTCTGGTACTGTTCAAACAGTTGTTTGCTATTTGTTAATTCTACCCCGTTTTGTCCTTTGAAACAATTTCATTCATTCATTCTACAAATATTTGTGGAGTGGCCGATGTGTACTTGGCACCGTTCTTGCTGCTGAAATACAGTGATGAGTCGTCACAAAGCCCACAACTGGGGTGGGGGGAGGCGAACCCCCAGGCAGTTAGGAGGGCTGTGTGAGGGAAGTGCTGGATGGCACCAGGGGGCCAGGAGGGGACACCAGACCGGGAGCTTCCTGAGGGCTTCCAAAGCAGGCTCAAGTGTGCTGAGGTGTGCAGGGTAAATAGCAATTGGAGGAAAAGAAACTAAAGGAACAAAAAGTATCCAAGTCCCATGGGTGAAGGTGAGCTTAGTACTTTGAAAGTCTTTTATGTATCTAGATCAACCAAATTCACATCACGATCATACCCAACTGTGAATGTGCCAACCGTCATTTATTTGTGTTTCACTCTCCTGGAAGGGGCAATGGCATGACATACTCAAGGGTGCCACACTCAGCCTGCCCCACAACTGGTATATCCCAACCTCACCATGACACCAAGGACCATATTGTGGGAGAACATGTCTGTCCCCCATACTATTAATTTCAAGAGGTTAGAGATGAGCCCTCAGACATTCCTATTTCTTGTAATGACCAATGCTCTCATTTTTTCAAACACACATACACACGACATGATATATATATATCAACTTCTTGAATCTACTTACATATTTTATTCTTTACTGAAATAGTTATGCCCTTGTAGGTATTAGACTTTATGACGTTAGTCTTAAAACATCCTCAGTTAATCTTTAAGGGCCCCCTAATTCTAATATTCCAGAATTTCATGGGGCTCACATCCTCTCTATCTGAGCCCCTCTTGACTTTATAGATTTCAGCTATACATTATATAGCCTTTGGGGTTTCATTTCATTCTCAAAGCAAAGATTGTCTTTCATCTGTCTCCAGCACAAGGAAACTGCTTAATAAGAAGCCATAGCATGAGGAGAAACTGAGGCCAGAAAGCTGGCTGAAAAAGAAAGAATCTGAAACCCTGCCATCGCAAATTTGTACCAGATGGGCATTGTCATCTGCTGGGGAAGAGAAAATCTAGAGAGGATCTTTCGTGCCTAACTTTCAACAGTTGTTCTTGAACTTTCTTGTGCCTCAGAATCACCTGGGCCATTTGATAAAAGTGCAGGTTCCCAAACCCCACCCACAAAGACTCTGATTCAGTAGGTCGGGGGTGGGGCTCAGCAATGTGCATCTTTACCAAGTACCCCCAGATGATTCTTTGTGGATGGTCTAGGACCATATTTGGAGACACGCTGATATTCAAGAGACTGTTGCAGCTTAGTGAGAGGAAAGGTCTTCTAACAGTGGTAGCCCAAAGATGGGACAAGCTGCCTCAAGAGGAAGAGGTCCCCTCACTGTAGAAATTTGCACAGAGGCTGATCACTTATTGTCAGGATGTCACCAAGGGGATTGGAAGCATCAAAAGAGCTCTTGCAGTGCCTGCCCCTAAAGCGCCCTGCAACTCTGAGGGTGCATGATTCTATCTTGTTGCTTCTTCTCTAGTCAGTGTATGGCGTGACTGAAGAGTCCCAGTCGCAAAGCCCCGTGCACATACCCAGTCAGCCAATCAGGAAAACTACAAAAGAGGACATCCGGAAACAGGTGAATGAATTGACTACCGCACTCCCAGGAGGAGACGTGGCCAGTTTGAAAACCCTTTGAATGTTCACCTCTGAAGGCTGAGTGAGCTTTGAGTTCCTGGAAACCACAGTGGAACCCAGCTGTGGATGACTTGAACCTCTGAGTGCTGTGTGCGAACAACCCATGGAAGCTTGAGAGGAAAAAGTCTGCACCAAGTTCCCCCAGCAGTTATTAGAGAAGGACGTAGAGGAGTTATCCCAATGCTTCGGGGTGACTGCTGTAGGTGGGGTTCCCACAGAATGCTGTGGGGGCTGAAGGGGGGAGGGATGGATGTCATGGAGTCCTTAAAATTGTAATGCACTTACAGAGTAAGCCAGCTCAGAACCACCGACTTTATTGCTGTGATTCAAAAGGCAAGTTTACAAATAAAGAAAGCCCCACTCTCAGTGCCAATTCAGCATTATTTGGTTCAATGTTTTCTTCCTTCATGATGAGAAGCTAACTGGTCAACCCAGGTCAGCAGCTAATGGCTAATTACATTACTCCTTTCTAGGATTCACGGGCAATGAAGTAACTTTAGGATCTTTACATTATGTTTTCTTGGCTTCTTGGGGGAAACCCAAAAGTGCCTGCCCTTGACAAGTTTATTTGTGGTGGGGAAGAGGAAACAGATGTATGTGAAGTAGCTATTTCATGATCTAGTCGAGTACACCAAGCATATGGTGGGTATGATGTAGGTGTGAAGGGAGTGCAGAGGGCAATCACTGGAAATTAGTCCAAACAGATATTTACAGTGCCTATAAAGTGTTGCTAAGCTTTGTAGGATGTATACCACTGCCTTTAAGTTTGCAATCACTTTTTGGAGTCGAGACCTAGGCTACAACACAGTGCAGAATATTAGCATAGGCTAAATTGTAGAGTGTGATTCCTGAGTGTGGTGGGAATTTCCAGAAGGGCAAATGATTGTTGGAATGCAAAGCTGGAGGGTTGGCAAAGGCTGGCCAGAGGAGCTGTTTGGCTATTGATGGAAAAACAAGGTTTGGGTTCATGGGGTGAAGGGGGAAAAAAATCAAGTTTGGTCTTAACACCTCTGTTCTATCTTTCCCCAGATAACATTTTTGAATGCACAGATTGACAGACATTGTTTAAAAATGTCCAAAGTGGCTGAAAGGTATGTTTCCCCTCCATAATATTACTGTTTTCTTCTAATTTAACAAAGGAGAAATGTTACAGGGTCATGGCTAACAAGGATGCACCACACCAAGAGGCAGACCATAGTCATTTCTTAAACTGATAAGTGAAAAAACACCACAGGCCCTGTGCAAGTACAGCCAAGACAGCAGACCTCCCTTGAATGATGTCAAGAAATGTTTTGTGGCTGAAGCTTTCCAGGGGGTGGCCACAGGACCTTGTCAATCCTTGTCAATCCAGGAGGAATGTCTGTAAAAGCTACGTAATGCACTTTTGCCCTCAGCCTCTTGATTCATTCAAATGGAATTGCTCCCTTTTCAGCTATGAAATGCCCAGATTCACTTTGTAGGGGAAAAAAATGTTGTGTGCCCTTTGAGGTGCTGGCCACGCAAATAGGAGGGGGCCGGGCCATGAGGAGGCGTTCCACCTGCACACACCATTGTGTGTGCACACAGAACCGCATCAAATCAACTGTAAAGAAAATATTTGGCCCCTCCAGCCTGGCTTCCTCAGGAGCATTTGTGCCACAGTCTGCACCTGTAGCTGGTTCCACTCCCATTCCATTAACTCAGGGGAAACTCCATTTTGTCAACTAAATGGTCTGTTTTCCAATCCTCAGTGAAGAGGAGAGACCACCTGGGGAATCCGTGATGGAATAAATATGATCGGACAGTCCCACACTGAACATTTGTTCGTCCATATGCTACTGTTTAAGAGATGACCAGTATCTGAGGGATCAAGGGCTTAAGCTGGGTCTTAGCATTTACTGGATATCGGCGTAAAGTGGGTTCTTTAAGCCCCGCTCACACAGAGGGCTGGCTGTGTGTTCAACCTGTGAGCCTTTCCCTGCTGGCCCCCAGGTTGATCTGCATATTCTTTCTAGATAAATAACAACAAATCAAGGTTAAGAAAAATCCCACTCCCAAACCCAAAACCCTGAATGAGCACCCTGTGTTCAGGGGGCCAAGGACATCTATGGATTTGGGCTGGCATCTCTAGTCCAAGACTCATTGGTAATGTTGCTATTGACATCCTGGACAGTCCTGTGCATTTTAGGATAGCAGCATCCCCGACTTCTGCCTACTAGATGCCAAAACCCACCTCACAGTCATGACAACCAAAAATGTCTTCAGACATCACCAAACATTCCCTGGGCAGGACCAGGCAGGAGGCAAAATCACCCCTTGTAAGAATCACCGAGATTCCCATTTTCTCCAATGCAAGCACTCTGGAAGGTGGCCGGAGGCTGGCGCTCAGCTCACCCTTCCACAGGGATTGCTGTGGAGTCGGGGCTGCAGCTGACTCTTCGAGCCCTGGAGCCGCCTCCCCCCAACTGTCGTGACATGTTGGTACTTCCCAAGTACCAGGCTCTAAAATTGCTTTTCTGATCTCACTGCAGTTGCCTTTGTCCCAGAGAGTGCCCGTGTGTGAGGTGGCAGGGTGACCTTGCTTGCATTGGTGCCAAGCCTGTAAGGGCCTCTGAGCTTCTGTCTCTGTCAGAGAGGGACAGGGATGGCTGTCCTCATGTGCCAGTCACACCTGGCCTTTGCAGGGCACATGAGACTTTGCAGTCCTAGGAGAGCATGTGTGTTTGGGGTGGAGGGGAGCGCGGTACAGGGAGCATCTCTCCTTGGGTCAAGTGGCTTAGGTCCCATGGTTTTGAGAAGGACAGTCCAGGCAGGGAGGGGTTCAGAATAGGGTTTCCCAAACCCTAGCTCTGGGGATTTGGATTCAGGGACTCCAGGTAGATCCAGAGGAGCCCACATTTTGAATAATCTGCAGGTGGACTGAGCAGGTCTCCAAGGATTTGGGGAAGCCACTGCCTAGCCCTCACCGATGTGAGAGCTCACAGGAGAAGGGGCACTGAGCTTTGTCCGCTCTCTGGGGAGATGGGGAAAGAGCCTGAACCAGTCAGCCTGAGGGAAGCCCACTGACTACTGGCAGGTGTGCTGGGGCCTGAGGCTGGCCCAGGAGACAGTCCAGGTGGGGCGGGGAGCCTGGCCAGGCCTGGTGTGTGTTTGCTTACTGCTGTCAGGGAGAGCCCCACCTGGGGGCATCTCTTTATACTTGAGAGACTGCTCGGCTGACGCCAGAAAGATGATTCCAACCAGCCACTCCTCACTCCCAGCTCGAAGCTTCGGGAGTCTCAGCCCAGCAGAGACTGGATTTTATTCCTGGCAGCAATAACTGGCAACTTTTCAACGTGACACAAGGGTTTTTCGTTAGAACCACAAGGAAACTCCCGGATAGAGAGGAGACAGGTGTAAGCAGGAGATAAAGCAGCCTGGAGCCTTGGCCTTTAGTGGCTCCGCATGGGGCGGGGACAAGGAGGGGGTGTTGGCAGCTAGCCTTGGGCGCCACCGCCCCGCTCCCCAAAGCTGAAAGCTGAGCTGCCTCAGGTGGGCGCACGCAGCCCCGTGGCGGGGCTGCTCTCCCTGGGCCTGCGGCAGGTGATGGGTGGTAATTAGCCATCAGGCAAAGGACCTCATCCCCCTGAGAACAGGTGCATGTCACGCAGTTCCCTGACAGCTGATGTTGGGGAGAGGCGTGAGGGCTGGTGATGGGTGATGGGTTGGCTCAGGGTTGTGGTCAAGGGTTCTGGCCAACACCCAGCCAGGAAGGGAATAAGGACACTTGTCTACTGAAGGAGCAGAGCCGAGCGATTTAGGGGATGGGTGTAGAGCCAGCCATCAGGGCTGGGATCCTGCCTCTGCCATTTTCTAACTGTGTGACCTTGGGCAGGTTGCTTTATCTCTCTGTGCCTCTGTTCTACTTCTTTAAAGGAGAGAGAGCAGGAGCACTTAACTTACAGGGTTAATGAGTTCGTCCATGACATGAGCTTCATCCAGTCCTTGGCACTTACTACACATGCAATGAATATGAGCCATTATTTTTTTCATTTCCCCCTGTGGTGCTTAATGGTGTCTTGGAAAGGAGCAGACTTCAGGTACATGGAACGGAATGAACTGGGTGTATGGTGTTCAGAGGAACCAACAAAGGGTAAGCCAAGGAGTGAAGCTGGTCCTGCAGATGGCAGCTTTGAGTGAATGCAATTCTTCCACCCTGTCTCTTTTCAGTCTGCTGCACAGAGAGCCCTGCAGGCTGCCCATGAAGGCTGCCTCTGCAGTCCATGTCTCTGTGTCAGCACCACTAATCTGGCATCTTTGAGGAAGGAAGGGCCATATGGGAAGAGTTTGGTTCTTCTGCCCAGATCTTCTTGGGTCATCCTGGTTTCGACTGCGCTGTCCCATTGTCACCATGAGTGGCTAAAGGCCAACATCATGGCAACCAAAGTCCATTTCCCAGCATTCGCTGCCTTTTGCACCTGGAAGCAATACAAAGTCCTGTCTAAGATGTTACCCGATTTTTGCTTCAGATAGTATGGTCCCCGCACACACAAATGAATCTCTCAGATAAATAACATTTAACACCTTAAGCCTTTTATCTTAACTATTTTAAATGAGAATCTTTCTTTTTTTTCTTTTTTTTTTTTTAAAGATTGATTGATTTAGTAGAGAGAGAGAAGGGAGGAGGGGCAGAGAGGGAGAGAGAAACACCAAGCCGACTCTGCGCTGAGCACGGAGCCCGACACGGGGCTCAATCTCACGACCCTGAGATCACGACCTGAGCCAAAACCAAGAGTCGCATGCCCAACTGACTGCGCCACCCAGGTGCCCCCACACGAGAATCTTTCTTAAGTATGGTTCATGCACTTGCCTTCTTAAAGAAAGGACTTATTTCAGTTAATTTTCCCGGATGACTTTTATACTGTGCTTTAAATCCACCAGTGATCAGGGTCTTAGGAAGTCCCACAAACTGCTTCCCTTTCCCTAAACAGCCCAGACCATTACAACCTTTGAGTCTCTGTTTCTGCTTTTTAGTTGTTTGGTTGTTGGGTTTTTTTCTTGTTCCTGGTCAACAATCTGCAGCAGACCAGGTGCTTCAGTTAGATACCGATGAGTAACAACTGACCTCAAAACCTAGTGGCTTCAAACAGCAGGCATTTGCTACTGCCCATATGATTACGTGCCAACCAGCCGGCTCCACTGGGCTTGGGCTTGTGTCTGTGTGCAGCCATGGACCGGGGAGGCAGCTCCGTGAACTTGGCTGGGCTCTCTCACACGCTTGGCTCCAGCTGGTTTAGCATGACCTCAGCTGGAATACTGGGCTCTTCCTCACATAGTCTCTCATCCTCCAGCCAGTTTGACCTTGCTCACGTGGGAATAGCAGAATTCCAGGAGAGAGAGTAGAAGCAGGCAAAGCCTCCTGAGGCTTGGAACTGACACTCTGTCATTTCTGCTATATTTTATTGGCTAACACGTCACAAGCCCAGACCAGATTCATGGGTTGGAGAAAGAGACTCATTTTTAAATTGATCTACCATACCAGGAAATCAGATGACCAAGTCCCTTAGCCTTGGTCCTAAAGCAAGAGTAAAGAGTGTTCTCCGAGGGGTGTGCTCTTCTGAATTCAGATTATGAGCCTCGAGGCATAGGTTTTATGTCATTGTAGACTGCTCAGAGGCCCTTTTGGTCATCTATCTCACCTGTGTTCCCTCAATAGTTGAGATTGCCAAATAATTGAGGTCTTACTGTCCTTTGCCAGGGTCCTCAATGGAGTCCCTTGTTTATTCACCCAAGCTTTACAGCACTTGACAAATCAATTTGGGAATGCAAAACTGCATACATTTTAGTTCCAAGTGGTCTGAAAAGTCTCTACATTTTGCAGGGTTTCTGCAGAGATTTCTCCCTACTCGCAGTGGCACTGAGTTATGCGCAGTCACTGCAAGAGTCACACCACACTGCCCCACTCAGTTGTCTCATTCCCTATCTGCCTGTGTACTTGGGCTGTCCTTACCCAGTCCCTGGGAGCCATTGTGCATCACAGCTGACTGCTGAATTGATTTTTTACATCATCTTGCTTGCCCATCTCGGGATCGCGGCTGCTCTCTGAAATTGGATGCTGGTTCCTTCTCTGCCT